CATATTTGCATCGTCAGCGGCCATGTTGCAAATGATGGTTATTTTAATGAATTGGTCATTGAAAGAAAGGGGTATTAAAGTGAACGCAAGTAAGACAAAAGTGATGGTTTTTGAAAGAGAAGAAAGTAAATCTTTATGTGAAATAAGAATAGAAGGGGAGTTGATTGAGCAAGTGGATGAGTTTGTATATTTGGGATGTTTATTTAGCAGGGATGGTAGATATGATAAGGATATAGAACGACGAGTGAACGCAGGAAATAGAGTGAATGGGGCTCTACACGCTATTATGAGGAGTCAGAATGTGTCAACTAAGGCACGTATGGCAATTCATAATGCTGTGTTAGTCCCTACTTTAATGTATGGTAGTAAAAGTTGGGTCTGGCAGAAGAAGCATGAGAGTAGAATAAATGCTGTAGAATTGCGTTCCTTAAGGAGTATGCTAGGGCTGAACCTGAATGACAGGGTGAGAAATAGTGTGATAAGAGAAAAGTGTGGTTTGCAAGATGACGTTGTGAGAAGGATTAAGAAAGGAATGCTTCGGTGGTTTGGTCATGTAGAAAGAATGAACGAGGAAAGAGTGACAAAGCAAATTTATGTTGCAGAAGTGAATAGCAGGGTCGGGAAGGGATGCCCTAGACGAAGGTTTATCGACCAAATCGGCGATATATTAAAAATGGGCCAGATTAGGAGTACCCTTAACTGACGAGCGTGTATGCAGATATATGTAGATATATGGATGTAAAAGAGGCGAGAGAGGTGTGTCAGGATCGCGCCAAATGGAAGTCCGTAGTCTCTGCCTACCCCTCTGGGTGACAGGCGTGAGTGTTTATGTATTATTATGTATGATATACAAACATATTTTTCAGATTGGCGTGTACATATAATAGCGGTGTAAGAAAATTCACTAAAACAGGCATCAACGTCTTCATGGTAACAACTTAATATTAAAAAAAACTGTGGATATCAAACCGCCTGCCAAGCGTGACAACTATGGCAAATATGTGTACGAGTCAATCTATGGGGAAGTCTTAAGTTCAGCTGTGGGCTGTAATGTTTTTATATTTTCCGTTAACATTTTTAGCATTTAATATTATTACTGCCGAATATGTTTCATTTCACGGAAATGTCGTATATTAAAACAAAAACACAAACATCACGAAATCATTTTGCATGATTGCATACATAACATATTCAAGCATACTAAATAGGGAGGTATGTGATCACAAAAACGATATTTTTGACGTTAAGTTTGAAGAAGTGAGACGTCTTTCATTGCGATTTGTTATTACATGTTGTAGGTGGTAGAGCCATGCTGTAGCTATGTCATAGTCTAGCATGAATGGGTAGACTAGACCGTGGAAGGACCGAGATCTCCCATAAAACCCGCCTACTGGAAACAAAGCCTTCCATAGCGGTGATAACGTATATGCCTTTTGATTCTTAATCGACGATAGATGTATGAGCCACAGAATCCACTTACCATTAGTTCGTTTTTGAACTTTATTCGAAATAAAAAAATAAATCAACACTACGAACGTCTTCTCCCGAATTATGTACGCAAGAAGAGTACATTAGTTAGTCTCTAAGAACTCCCATAGTTACCTTAATATCGTGATCTCATATTATTCATTATGAGAACTTCCCCTCGCGACTTCGCCCGGTTTTAATTATGTTACGCGGAACCCTAATCCTTTTTCTCAAATATAAGTAGTCTAAGTTACTTCTTATAACATCAACTATCTGCCAGTGAAAGTCCCGTCGATATCGGTCCAGCTGTTTCGGAGATTAGCCAGAACAAACAGACAGACACAAAATTTTTAAAAATTGTATTTTGGTTATAAGTATCGTATATACTTTCATATGCATTTTGTAAAAAGCTGTTATTTTAATATTACAAACAGACACTTCAATTTTATTTATTTGTATAGATAAGATGGATATGCAACGGGCTCGAAGCACACGGGCTTTAATAATATCTCACTGGTGGTGTAATTGAAGAAATTCAAGCGTGTTATGTGACGTAAAATATTTCCGCTGTTTTAATTAAGAGTATGTATATTGTAGCATTATGCAATACGCAGTAAAACAGACGTCTTTAACAAAATTTTTGCGGCAGTGCGGGGCGCGTTGTCGGAGGCATAGAGGACCAGTTTTATTTTTATTTTTCGTCGCTATTGGAAGAAGCTGCTGTCCACCTCCGGATTTGTTTCCCTATGTCACCTCTTACAATACCCACAGGATGATACGGGGTAGCGTATATTCTTATATCGCCACTACACGGACTATACTAGTACATAGTACATGTTAAAAACAAAATATTTTGGGAACTCATACGGTAAGGTTTCGCTTTTATTATTCCGTATGATGTTGTAAGAGTTGACTACGGAAAATTCTGGAAAAGTCTTGTAGCTTCCGTCAGCTGACCATTTATTTTACCTCTGTTATAAACAATGCTCTTTTTGGCAGCGCAGAAGAAACTTACCTCGTTTCGTCACCAAATAATTTGTCATAGTAGCTCATCTATGCCCTATATAGTATATTATATATGATCCAATATGCGAAATATTTAGTTCTGCGACCGTCAATCCGCCTGCCCAGCGTGACAATTAAGAGAGTAAGGGCTCCGGCTTCTCAGCCTTTAGGAGTCCGTTTTGGTAGGTACAACTCTCTTACCGATTTATGTCCCCAAACAGAATGCTTGCCATGCTGTGTTCCAGTTTGAAATGTATAGAGAGTAAATATAATTACAGATTGCAAGGCATTCTATTCAAGTCCTAAGAGGTGGCAACGCATCTGTAGAATTCTTTGTTTGAATTTACGGTAATAGTCACTTAACATCAGGTAGGCTGAAAGTTTGTATGTCACCTCTGATGTATAAAAAAAGTATTACAGGCTTATGAAGAAAAAAGAAATGATTCTGACATCTGCCTCATCTTATGTTTCTACCACACGTTAATTAATTCATTTGTCTATACTCTGCTCGTTAGCGTTCATGTTAGTACTGCTCACTAAAACGTGCATATCCTTACACATTTCTATTCCCTGACGACACGTATGAATAACAATGTTAAATCTCTACATATTTGTTGACGAGTATGTTAACTGGGAAAAAATGTCTAATTAGGTCTAACTTCGTTAACTGACGAATCTATCTCCGCTATCTCGTGTTTTTAAAGTCACTCAGCGAGTTATAAGAGAAGACTATGCTCGGAGTTTTCGTTCATGATTAAATCCGCAGCAGTACAAAATCAACTGACAAAGACCAAGAGATTAGTTGTCCAAAGTAACAATTCGTAGGTCATATAACTCGATGAACCGTCAACTTAATTCGAAGAAAGATTCTTGAGTGGCAGCCTCGTACTGCAAGCGCAATTTTGGGCGACCACCCCTAGATGGAGTATCAATATGATAATACATGCAGCAAATTGATGGATGCAGATGATTCATGAATGAAATGACCCACTGTTGAAGGGCCATGTGCAGAAGTGGACTTTTAATGGACGGCAATGATGATGACACTAATTATCTGCAATTACATGATTCCTGTCTTTCAGTTGCGAAAACCGTGACAAGAAAACATATCTATAAAAGGAACCTAAACTGCACGCACGAATGAAACCCATGTAAACTAAAACTGAACTGAAATGAATTGGATATTGTATATAACCACCGAAAATCACGGACTCATGATGGAAGCAACATTACTAGTAAGCGTATATCGGCACTGTGAAATAAAGAAATTATTTGGCGAAGCTTCGTGAAATTATTACTTCGGTGTAGTGTTGGAGCAACAAATATTATTTTTGACTTGTACGCGGGCAAAAGCGAATATCTATCCAATTTTATTTATTTATACACTTTATTGTACTAAAAGTACACACGGCGGACTTAGCTTTCTCACTACAGGGACCACTTTTTATGTCAGATTCAATTCATATTCGGGATTTAAGCTTTTTAGAGGTTACTTTTTAACTGAAAGATTACTGAAAAAAATCTATTCCCGTAACAAAGAGTTTTTCCTTATGTCCTGCCACTAGAACAGATGCAGGCTACTTATATTTTCAGGACTATTTTATATTCTGCATACAAGACAATTACAGCCAATGTGAGTATATTATTGTGTAATGAAATAAGATAAGCCTATAAAGTACTCAATTTTTTATTGAAAAGACATGTTATTAAACTTTAAACTTAACGTCTTCGTTATTTATTTTGAACAGATAACATTTTCATAACATTACTTATTGATTTAAATTGTACATTAAATCAGTCTCAATAAGTCAGTCATCACCAGTTATAGAATCCTATCTAGCATACAAACAATAAAAATTGACGCCATTTGTGTAGCTATAATTGAAAAATAAGAAAATAAAGCTTCTGAAAATAATTATGGATCATGAAAAGCTTCAAAACAGTTTTTCTGAGCCGTGAAACATAAATACACAGCATATTTTTTGCAGGTAACTGTAATTTTTTTATAACAACCCTCATTTCTGCATCTATTTTGCTTTGAACTGTGTTGTGGCATGTGATTAGCTTTAGTTTTAGTTGGTAACGGAACTATAGTAGTCTTACGTTTCTTGTGCTTTGGTAAAAGTTCTTCAAACTCTTTAGCAGGGTCATCTGTGTCTGTAGAATCTAAGTTATCAGCAATTAACTTCTCACCAAGTTCCATCTTAAATTCACGTATGCATATAACGTTTTTAACGTCTTTTTTCTTCTCTCTCTGTTTGAACTGAAGGCATGAGTTAGCAACAGCCAAGTCTATCATATGAGAAATTACTCGTATTGTCCACTTCTTTGTTCTGTTACGTGAAGGGCTTACAGCTACCATTCTATCAACTAAATCTACACCCCCCCATATTTTCGTTATATTCTTTGATAACTTCGGGGCGTCTTACACGTTCATACACTTTGTTTTTCTTCGACCATATTTCACATTCATCTGCATGTCTATTAGATAAACGCGTTGACAACATCACCACGGGCTTATTGTCCATTCAACGTGCCATCTTGCTATCTACTCGTGTTTTTATTTCATAATAACCCCGTTGCTTTTTCATAAAACTCTTATCTTCTTCCATCATACAGTTTTTGGGCAATGGGTTTCTCATAATTGTTCCAGTCGCGTGAAAACCTTTATTCAATAATTCATCACACAATTTGATAGTGGTAAAATAGCGATCAAAAAAGATGTGGTGACCAGGGACAAGTGCTTCGGTCAGCCAAAGAATAGCTGCTTCTCCGAGACCAAAACCCATCTGTCTAATTTCTGGAAAAGTTGTGTCCCCTTGATATATCTCGAAATCTATAACCATTCCCCGAGGCCTTGCTAATGCAAATACTTTTAACCCTAAGGGATTAGCTTTGTTAGGGTTATATTGACGAATACAACATTGACCAGTAAACGGAATGATCATTTCATCAATAGACATTTTTGCTGTGCGAGGTTGAAGTAAACATCCTTGTCGTACTTTCTCGAAAAGGGGACGCACTTGCCAAATCTTGCCTTTTTGACGCTCTTCGACGGTAACATCAAGATCATAAACCACTTTTAACGACGTTCTAATTGCGTAAGAACGCAGACGTGTCATAGCTGATGTTATGATAGGCTGTTTCCATTTAGATGACCAATACATGTCAATTTGAGGATATTGTAATGAAGCCATAATCATTGTCACTCCAATTTAAACTTTTAATTCTTTAACTGTAAGACCAAGTGACCTGCCTTTTACATGAACTGCTATTCTGTTTGTACAATCCACAATTTGTAAGAGTATTTGTTCATTTATATCACTTTCAAAGAACTCTTCGTATGACCATCCATGGTCGAAATTTGGCACGTATGTTGGTTCATACAGATTTACTTCGAGAGGTTCAAAATTTCCAGTCCATAAATCCACAACATCAGGTTGAGATTGAGACAATATTTGTCTGTAGGTTGGCTGAGCTGACCTTCGAGGGCGACGAGAAGATCTTGCTCGGCGTAAACCAGTATTATAGATAGACAGTTGCCTGGCGTATTATAGATCCACTCGATAAAGCCGGCGATGGTGGCTCAACAACATCATGGGAGTCTGAATTTACAGAAGAATCACTAGAATCATACCTTCGACGCTCTTGTGTAGCGATTTCCGTGGGTTCATTATATGTGGGATCTTGGGTATCATCGTCGCTGCTAAAATCGACATCAGATTTTTCTAGTAATGCTAGCACGGTATCGTCAGAACAGGCTAAAACAAATATCAAATAAAATATTATTTACATAATTCCCGTACAGGTACCTATACACAGGACATAACAATATTGCAGTCTGCATGATTCCTAAATTCAGGACATATAATTTTTATCCCCATTGAAAATAAAATCATGGCAGTATTCGCGTAAATATTGACAAATCAAACTAAATCTGCTATTCGAAATCGTAATTTGAATAACTTTTGATAGAAATGGCAACATTTTTATAAGATTCAGAAAGATTGAACTTACCAATGCCCGAGCGCGGCTCGGTACATCTGAATCTCGAAGCCATTTTGGCAGAATTGACCTTCAGTTGAGCTGTCAAATATTTTTCTATACCTACAACAATCTTCAATAGATGTCCCTAGCGGTTTTTATTTGACGTGACGTGAATATTTAACTCGCAAGATTTTTTATATTTTTATGTTCTACAGGTAGTACAAGTTCAGTGAGGAGGTTAATGCCATATGACAGTTTCTACCAGCCAACCGTAAAGTTAGATGGGAGATGTGTGTACTGCAGTGGGTGAGGATGAAAACTTAAAATTTAAAAATTTCACACATGTATGTGTATGTGTGAAATTTTAAAATTTTAAGTTTAGGTTTACACACACACACACACACATGCATACATACTCACACACACATACACATACAAATTTATTCAAACATATATAAGGATATAATAGATTATATGTTATAGACATTTATGGGTCATTGTGTCAGCTGAGCCCAAGTAAAGTTCCTTTCTTTTTTATACAGAGACTGTAAACTTCCGACGATCTCTGAGTATTTCAAGGATATGTCTCGGCGCTATTTCAAGAAGGCCGAGACACATTCGAATCCGCTTGTTGTAAACGCAGCCACCTACGCTCTGATTCCGAACGTTGTGCAAACCCTCTAGAGGCACGCAACGTTCTAATCGAACCCCCTGTTTCGCTACATTTCTACGACCGAAATGTCGCCGCCCCGTCACACACAAACACTACACTATCACCTAGGCGCGCCGCACACCCCTCCACACCGCGTACACACCGCCCGTGGGCGGTTCTCGCAGCCTCAGAATATCGAACCATACGAGTTAGCCGTCAGAACTGGGGCCCATCATCCCCTGTTCAGACGGCCGTTAGACAAGTCATCCATGTTATGTTAATGTGATCACAGAACTGAACACAATATTATCTCCCTAAGGTTTTCGATGTATGTGAACGTCGCGCCCGCAACGTTGTACTAAAATGAATTATCTCCCTCCACTCCTTTTCTATAGTCCTGAGTCCGATGAAACTGTAAGAGCCACATAGGCTAACAACATTAACATCACAGAATCTCGATCTAGAATTACAGACTGATCCCTCTTAGTCGCCTTCGCAATACTTTATACTACTAGAAAAGGTGGGAGATTACAGTTCTACCATCATTTGTTCGTATTTTAATTGAATTTTTTTGCCCTCTTTCCCAAGATAATTTTTACTAACTTTAATTCAATGAAACATGGGAAACCAAAAGACTTCTTACCGTTAAAAATGTATATGGCAGATATATAATAATATTTAATTAGTGAAAATATTGTCCGTTACGTTACACGTATTCTTGTGAAACACACGGCCGTGTTCACGACACATTCACATCCCGATTTTTTTTTATTTGATGTTGTTTCCCGAAACTCACACATCAAAGCGGGTAAAAGCTTGTTATTACTAAACACCACGAAAATGTGCTTCTTCGTAAACGTTCAAATTGCTAGTGAATAAAGAATCAATAAATGTATGAAATGAGTGGCGTTAGCTACCAGGTCACGTATTATATCGGAGTTTGATAAGGTTAAATTCGTTTATGGCTATATGATATTGTCTTCTTTCGTTAAATAGTTTCCAAATTCTTGAATATTATATGTTTATTTCCGAACGTTAAAATTAATTTGTTTACTTATTTAACTGTAGTATGTAATAGTACACATAATCGCCACGCTTGTATGCGTAGATATATGGATTTAAAGGAGGCCCACCCAGAAAGGTTCTGGGTGACGGGCATGAGTGTTTATGTTATGTGACTAAAATTGGTAGTGGCATAAGAGAATCCATCATAAGCTCTAGGAAGTCTAGCGGTGCCTATAAGTAGCGGCACGAAAGTCTAGCTGTGACCATTATTGCGCATAAGTTGCGCTGGTTGGCTTATTTCGCATAACTCGCGCTGATTAGCTCGTGTGTATCGTATGCACGTGCTGCTAGGCTCTCCAGTCGCATTCGAGCAATTCAATTCCTGCGCGTCCCCTCCACGTTTCGTTCAGTGCTAGACTCACATGTCGTGATTTGTGCGGGAAATACCAGAAAAACCTTATAGCTCCTGATTAATGGCGGTGTAACCAACTCGGTTACGCCAGGCGTAAAATATCTAGACAGAAGAGGGTGAACAGTTGCAACTATAATGTCCTTCAGACCGAATTTTGCTTACGGCGGCCGTTTGCAACGGGGACTATTCATCTGCGCAGGACATGATTATAATTCCATAGGTGCATTTTATTTTCTCTCTCTTATCAGATTATTCTGACGGGACGGTAATCTGACACGTTTGCTATTAGCAAGTTTAATGTTTTGTTAAAACTGTATAAAAAGGGTTATTATAGTATAAATGAATACATGGTTGATAATAACCCCTGGGAATGAGGTGATCGCTTCCAAGCTGTTTCTAAAATAAATTTTGTACTTATATAGTTTGTAAAACCATTATTATAAAATTTGCTTTAAAAAAAAGTCCCGCTGGGTTTCTTCCTGGTCCTTCCCAGGACAGGTTTTTTTTCAAACCAGTGGTAAAGTAAAAAATGACTTTCAATAAGAATTACACGTGATCTATATTGAATAAAAAAAATATTCTATTCTATTCGTCTGCGACTGTAGAGCCGCTTTCTAAGTATGTTTGCGAGAAAGCCATGCAACAATTATTTTTTAACTTAACTTGGTATGTATAAGACTTATAAGTCATGTATCCTTGTATCAATTAAGAAACTGTCGCCAAAATTCAACTTAATGTAATTGTACTATTAAAAATATAAAGGCTTCAGTGCTATCACTCATATAAAATGTCTGCGAGTGCGAACAAGGTGTGGACTCTACATCCATAGGCAGCTGGCTCAAATCCAGCTAGAAGGACCGAAAAAATGTAAGGTGTTTTATAACACTTTTTAATAGTTATGAATATTATGAATAATAAGGAAGGTATTTACCTTATGATATAAAATGTATGCTATGATAATAAATAAAACCAAGCGCGCTAAGTTCTGATAAGACACTTTTAATAGTTGATTGCATGATTAGTTTATGACAAAAATGGTGTAGAAACTAAAGTTTTATACACACGTACGATGGCTTGTACACAAAATGCACATATATTTATTTCTATAATAAATTTTTGGATCCTTACATTGACCTCGTAGAGCGTCTATAACTCTGCAAGTAAGCACCACGTATATATTTCAATATATTTATGTGAATTTAATATAAGCACGTCTGAGGGTAATGTTCGTCGATGACCAGACATATTACATTTTTTTATAGGATAGGATCCCAAACGAGTACAAAGTCCACTTGATGGTAAGTGGTTGTTGTGACCCATAGACTTCTGCATATATCTATACAAATAAATAAAATTGAAGTGTCTGTTTGTAATGTCAAAATTACAGTTTTTTACTAAATGCATATGAAAGTAAATACGATACCTATAACTAAAATACAATTTTTAAAATTTTTGTCTGTCTGTCTGTCTGTCTGTTTGTTCCGGCTAATCTCCGAAAAGGCTGGACCGATTTTGACGGGACTTTAACTGGCAGATAGCTGATTTCATAAGGAGTAACTTAGGCTACTTTTATTTTGCGGCGATAAGACCCCTCTTTGAGGAGTGGCTTGAGAGACGCCACGGCGTCCTCACCTTCCGCCTGACGCAGGTCCTCACCGGACACGGTGTGTTCGGGAGGTTCCTGCACCGAATCGGGCGGGAGGAAACGCCCGGGTGCTCCCACTGCGAGGATCGACCGGAGGACACGGTGGAGCACACCGTGGAGGTGTGCTCTGCTTGGGCGGAGCACCGCCGTGTCCTCGTAGCGGCGATAGGCGGCGGCGACCTCTCGCGTCCGGCTCTGGTCGAAGCCATGGTCCGGAGCGAGATGGAATGGGATGCCGTCACCACCTTCTGCGAAGCAGTGATGCTAGCGAAGGAGGTGGCGGAGCGGGAGAGGGAAAGAGCAACAGCTTTCCTTCCCGGCCGCCGCGGGAGACGCCCCGGGCGTCGGGGGCTACGTCGTGGCCCCCGACCACCGTAGGCGCGGGCCTGTGGACGGCGAGCAATGGGTAGCTCGCCGTCCGTCCGTCTAACGACGACAGGCCGTGTCGACGGCGCGTTTTGTTCCACGCGCGCCTCAAAGAGCTGTCAGCAGCGTGAAGGGGCCCGCAAGGGCCGACGCCTGCCGGGGCTGCGGGCTGTTCGAAAGAGATACCGCGGCTCCGGAACGTAAGGGCACTGAAGGAACACGGATGGTTTTTAGTCAGTAAAAGTCTGACACTCCCTTCCGCTCCACCCACAGCGAAAGGCGTCATTAGATGATTTTCCATCCGCAAAAAAAAAAAAAAAAGGCTACTTTTATTTTAGAAAAAGAATCAGGGTTCCGCGCAGAAACATAAAAACCCTAACACGCGAACGAAGTCGCGGGGAACAGCTAGTCTTTAATAAAGAATCAAAATGCAGATGGGTAGTTACCCGTGAGGACTAAAATGGAATGCCTCTCTTCCAGTAAAAACCGTCTCCGGTTCTCTACACTCACCATACGAAACAAAGCAGTGTTCAGCTGCTATTTTTCGCTGGTATTCTATGAGAGCGTGGTCCTTCCCTGATCGAGCCGACCCATTCGTGCTACAAATATACTACTAATATAGCTACAGCATGGCTCTAACACGTATAAAAACAAGATATAACATCTCAAATACTTGCCAAATATAGCATTTTATATTTTTATCCACGTATATAGTAAATATATTTTTTTACGAAATCAATATACGAGTGAATTGTATGAATACCAATCAACGCAAAATTTATTTATAAAAAAAAACTGTACATTTAAATTTATATCCTTTCATTATTTTTCATCGTATGTCTTTCCAGTTTGAAGCACTTGCTGACATCCGAATTTGGCATACTGATATAACTCCGATGACAACGTAATATTGTAGTACCATGGGGCTGGTGCGATGATAGACCCGGATCCCGGTATTAGCTTGTTTTCAAATAGATTTTATAACGTTTTAAT